TGCTTACCCTAGAGCTGCAGCTGAACATTCAGTTTGAGGTGCACTTTCTGTCTGCGCTTGGCTCTCTAGCTCAGTGCTGTAGCATAGGCCAGCGGTGATGGGAGGGGGAATGTTTACAGTGCTGGTGATACCAAGCATGGCTTTTTTTTTATTGGGGACGAAGGCTGCTGTGCCTGAAGCCTGGTGTTCCCTTTCTTCTGGCGTCAAATTCTTTGCTTAGCTCTGCTTAGCTGTGGCCTAGGGGGTTTGTCCTGCTGGCCAGGTCTCCTCCCATTGTAGTGGTGCAGGGAGGAGCCCCTCTTGCAGCCAGTGGGAGAGACAGAGAACAAAAAACAGAGGAAAGTCGTCGTGGCTGCCAGGAGCTTGTGGCTGCCATGTTTTCCTGCCTCTTACACTGCTCTTCTCTGCTCCAGGGGGTACCTGGTCTTGGAGGGCAATAGCAGAACTGGCAACTTGTTGGGCCGCCAGAGGCTGTGTCTGCTTTGTTTGGAGTAGAGCAGACAAGGGGAAGGTGGTTGTGCTTGAGCCTGTATTCCCCCAAGATCCCAGGGGCCAGTGTGCTGTTGGTGTGTGAGATAGGGCACAGGGGAGTGTGAGCCTGCTGCAGCCCATGGAGGGTAGGTATCCCTCGGCTCAGAGCCAGGGCTAGAAGCAGCCTCCTCCCCCAGTGCATCTGGAGTTGGACTGTTTGGCCACTTGCCCCAGTGCTGCCTGAGCCTCTTTCATCCCAGAGGTGGTGGGAGGGATACTGGCTGGTTTTATGAGGCAGAGGGCATGTTCAGTTCTGGGTGGCAATCCTCCAGGGCAGAAGATTGTGCCCCTGCGCCCCAGTTCCTCTCCAGCTGCTGTCCGCTTTCTCTGTAGGACACGGTTCAGAAACGCCAAGGGCAAGTCTGTGAAGAAAAGCCGGGACTGGATCCTTGAGAAGAAGGAGCGTAGACGGCGACAGGGCAAGTAAGTTTAGCTGGGTCCTGCCTCAGCTGAGGTTAGCTGTGCTGGTCTGGCCTGCTGTCACCTGTTCAAACTCCTGCCGCGAACCCACTTACCTTCCTCTCCCAGAATGACCTGTGGGTTGTGCTTAGTTGCTCCCTGCTTTCCTCCACAGGGAAGTGCGAGCAGACACGAAATACACAGGTCGAAAGCGCCGCCCTCGCTTCTGAATTGCTCTGGACACTGCTGGCATGGAAGATGGTGTGTTGGTCCCTCCAGCGAGCCTCCCATGGATGGCACAGATGGGCAGCCCAGGCCTGGGACTAGCTGGGACAGATCATTGTGGCTCTTGAAGGTGTAAACGGTCTCAGATGCTGCCCAACAGCCAACAGCAAAGCTTCCAGCCCTGTTTTCCTGGTGAAGGTAGAGTGGCAGACAGTGTTCTGGCCGCTTGGTGTCTGCAATGCCATTGCTTATCTTCCTGAGAGTGCAGTGAGCCATCTGGAGCTCCAGGTGAGCCAGAACATTATATCCAGCCTCCTCACTAAACAGTCAATGAGTCAGAAGTGTTGCTTGTCCTGTGTCCTGCCCTCACTGCAGGGGAGTACCGAGGTGGAAATACAGCACCTGTTTCCCTGCCAGCTTCCCCTCTGCCCGCAGGCAGGGAGTCCGGCCCATGTGTGTCCCATGAAGGCAAATCATCCTCCTGGCAGAAGTGTTATTCCTGTGGTGATTGCTCCTATGGGTGCTTCGCATCAGGCCCACCCTGTATGCTTTAGTGTTCCCACGTGCTGGGGTTGTCTGTACCCCAGCCCTTGCTCCCCATCATGTCCTCCCTTCCCCTGAAACAGAGGGGTGCCAGCCGGAGCTTTACAGTTACAAATGTTTATTCTACATAAAAATTCCACAAAATGGGAAGCTGTTTTGCACCCAAAGCTTTGGGAGAAGAAAGGGAGGCTAGCAGGGAGGGAAAGGGTGAAGGAGAAAAGATGCAACATACAGTGTCATCCAGCCCAGTGAGACAGAGCAAGCCAGGGTCAAGATCCACATAGAAAACAAGGACACTTAGCTCACAGTACAGCAACGGTACAACTCCACGGGGGGCTCGGAAAGCCTTCAAGTACATAAATTACAAAAAAAAACAGTCCCCAGTTCGAGTGCAAGCTGTGCGTGCCCCACACTGCTCGTGGAATACTGCATTGACACGCTCCCGGCGCTGGGAGGGCAGGTGGCACTTGGAACAGAGGTGGTGTAACCCAAAGGACAAGCGGTCTGCGGGTAGGGACTGGAAAGAAAAAGTGAAATGTCTCCCCAAAGCACAACCACGCTGTTGGTGATTTGGTCTGTACATGCAACGACGGGGTAGGTAAAAAGGAACTGAACGGGGCTTCCCGTAGTGCAGGGGTAATTATTGCACCAAAACACCCTCCCCTCACAGCAAGGACAGTGTGAGCCTGCCTGTGGGGCGGCAATGGCAGCCTGCTCCTCCGCCTCCCTCACATCAGAGCCTGGCACCACCACTGCCTGCAGAATCCCAGCAAAGTGCCAGTGGCATCACAGAATCACCAACTGTGGCTCTGTCCGGCTCCTGCTGCTGGGGGGCTGCTGGTGGTGGTGGTGCC